AAAAAAAAAACAAAAAAAAAAAATCAAATCAAATCAAGAGCAAAATAAACAAGCACCTGTACAAAAAGTCTTAAAAGAGAGAGAGACCTCTTGAAATCTAGGCAAAGAACCTTAAGGAAAGAGGGTGTGTAATTAGAGGAAGATTTTGGGCTGAGAGATCTGGTTGGAGTTGAATATTTAGAGTGAGCAAAGTGGAGTGTTTGGTTCATGTTCATTTTACTCTCTTGAGTTTAAACCCTGTTAATCTGAAAAACCACATTCCTTTGTTAACCAAGCCTCAGTCAACCCTCAACTTTCCAAAAAAGTCCTTGTGATCCTTAATTTCTCTCAAAGAGTAGTACTGAAGAGATGATATCAATGCTTATGTTCATAGAAATGATGAATGGACTTGAGAGAAACACTCACCCTGGAGAGCCATTGTTGAGAGAGTATGTTCAGATATTGGTTTGTAATGTTCATGCTATGATTTGCCTTGCAATTTTTGTGTTTGGGCATGGTTGTTGTTGTGGGCACCTCAGTGAGTAGAAATTGGTTTTTGATGGTGAATTGATTGAGTGTTTACCTATTGTTGATATAGAAGAAATCTTAGAAATTGGTTTTTGATGGTGAATTGATTGAGTGTTTACCTATTGTTGATATAGAAGAAATCTTATGGTAGGAAGTACCCTTTTTGGTTTTTGATTGGTATCTTGTTGGGGACCAACAAGAGATTAAGTTGGGGTAGTTACTTAACATATTAGTCGACGAAGTAAGAGACCTGATTGGATTTAAGTAAAAGGATGAAGATATCTAAGTGAAAGTTGTTTGATAATCACAAATATTTGAGCGAACTACGAGGGACAATCTGACACAGCAGAGGCGATTTTTGGTCGGTGATGTAAGTACTCTATTTTATTTGAGTTATTTTAACATTATGCAGCATTTATGCTTATGCACCTTCAAACTTATCAGTGTTCCTTCCCTCTAGTTGATTATGGACAAAAAAATTGTTTTGAAATGATACAGCTATGATAATTAACAAAATACTCTTTTCAGACAAAGATAAGAGTTCCGCACTAGACTGGCTAATGTGCTTCAACATTGTATATTGAATAGCCAAAGGGCTTCTTTATCTCCATCATGATTCCAGATTTAGAATTCTTCTTGGATATCTCAAGACAAGCAGTGTTCTACTTGATAAAGAAATGAACCTAGATATATCAGATTTTGGAATTGCTAAAATTTTTGTCAATGATCAAACACAAGCATATACAAGGAGAGTTGTTGGAACATAATGAGTACTGAGTAGTACTAATGTAACACCTTAATTTTAGTTAAAATAAAATGTGCAATGACCTCATTATTAAAAAAAAAATTGTATGTGCAGTGACTATATATCTCCTGAATACACAATGGGTGGATACTTCTCAATGAAATCTGATATTCAGTTTCGGGGTCCTTGTGTTTGAGACTGTAAGCAGCACGAAGAACAGAGGGTTTTATTCTTCAGATGAAACAAATCTTGTTGGGCATAAGTGAAAATTAAAGGCTGTGTTTATTTAAATGGTGACAACTTATTAAGGAATTTTTGTTGTGTGTTGTGATAGGCATAGGTGCTTTGGAGAGAGGAGAGTGCATTGGAACTAATAGATTCATCATTTGCTGAATATGTGTCCAAGAACGAGCAGAAGACAGGCCCACTATGTCATGTGTGGTCTTAATGTTGAATAGCGAAATTGCATCATTGGCACAGCCCAAACACCCTGGTTTCGTCCTTTCAAGGGGCCCCCAAGAAACTGATTCTTCTTCGAGTGCGCAAGATGAGTTGCACACAAATGGGTCCAAATCCGATCCTAAAATAAAAACTTTGTTGTTGAATTCAAGCAAAGATCATTCAATTGATTATTAATCAAGAGAAAACATTAAACACAATATCAAGAATTCAAATCATGCGCAAAGAGACCTTTTTTTGTTAACTTCCTTATAACAATCATTGCTAGGAGAAGGTCAAATGAAGAGTGAAAACAGGAACAGGTAACACTTTTGTAAATAAAGAGTGAAATTAGAAGATGATAACAACAGTAAAATGATCCTTAAATTCTCATACTAGACTTTCCCAATTTTATTTTATTTTAAAAAGCCAAATTTTCCATCGTAGATTTCCTAGCATATTCGACTACTCCATTCTGGCCTTCTCGATTTATCCTATACCAATTACATTGGTTTCAGTTCACTCTGCGTGTAAAAATGCCAATCTATGGAGGATGAAATCACTCTGATTTTGATGGAGTGGTATATGTTATAGATTTATAGTCTTCTAAGTTTCAACTAGCAAACGTTAACTTATTCCTCAAGAAATTTCAGAGAAGAATGTTTTCATTTTTATAATTTTCAAAGGTCTTCACCTGTCACACCCTTATATGACTGGCAAATCACCATTCAAAGGCTCTCAATATTAAATTCTCCTGAGTCCTAACAACAACAAAACAACTCGGGTTTTGAACCGTGTCATTTCTATTCGTCCTACGTAGTGGATTTTACAATAAGATACTCCATTAATGGAAATTGTTTATGACTTCTGCCTTTTGTTTATTCAGAAGTCAAAGCCCTTCTTTTATAAGATGTTAGGATGTAAAATGCAAGTGCAGCTTTGTGTAATTGAATTTGGATGTCAAATTTGACGACGAGGCGGGTGAGAATGAAAAAAGTTGATATTTCTCACAATCATCAAGATTTCAAAACATATTATTTGATAACAAAATATGCACCATCTAAAATACATGATACCTTTGGATAATCCTAATGAATTTCAATGCACCCATAAATCAACAACTATATAATTTAACATTTATTATTTTATGGGTAATTGAAATAAATCATCATTGATTGAAATTCATGTTCAATCATATTATCACAACAATAGCCTGTCAACACAATTATAAATCGATCAATTATATAATATCAATCAATCAACACAATCAAATTTAAAACTCATTGTAATTCAACATAGTCTGTTTAGATCTAAAATTATATACATTAATCAAATAGTATTTTAATATATTACTAATCCAGATAGTAAATATCATATGACACATATAAATTGCAAAATTGTAGAATAATTTGTTTTGAATAACAATGTCATCACAAGCCACATAATATTTTTTCAACAAGATTTTCAGGGGCTCAGCAACCAGGAGAATTTTAATAATAATTCTATGACTATTACTCTATTAGAGGCTCGAAATTTGTTGCTGACTTATAGATTCTATGGCAAATGCTGTTAGGCAGTTTGCAATGATGTGTTGCTGCATCATTGAAGGTGTTTAATATTAGTTGTTTATGCAGCAGTCAAACATTAAATATGGTATCAACAAATATTGGGCGAGTGTATATACGAGTGTAAGCCATATCAAAATTGAACTCAACATTAAATTCAATTAGATTATTTTTTATAAACCTGACTCAGTTTAAGACAATGTCCGCGTGAGTGAATAATGAAACTAGATATTGACGGCAGAAAGTAGCTTCAAGCTTTAAACTAAGAAGCATGTTCTTCACTGAAGGTATCTCTTACATATTACAACAAAACAAGATCAAAGTAGATCTCAAAGGGGCCGCAACTATCAGAGGAAGGAAGATTTACAGAACATTGTTTATGTTTCAAGGAATATACAAACATGTTAGGTGATGTCATGCTTCTTTGACTACCTAGCATCTAGCAATGTGACTGTGACTTGGTTCACACTCCATTCATCTTGCTTACTTGAAGAAGAATCAGTTTCCGCAGGATTCTTCCCTATGGAAAACCCAGGGTTTCTTGGTTGTGGCATTAATGCAGATTCACTACTCAGCATCAACATCACTGAAGGCATTGTTGGCCTATCTTCTGCACGTTCTTGGACACACAAGAGCCCAACGTGTATGCATCTAAGAACTTCAGATGGTGAATATGAATCGCCAATTGATGAATCAATGAGTTCCAATGCACTGCCATCTCTCCACTTCCTCCATGCCTACAAGAAGATAGCATCATATTATTATTAACAGAAGATCATATTATCAACTTAATAGCACTCTAATTAAAGAAGCACTCTCACTCACATTCCCTAGAAGATTCATATCATCGTTTGCGTAATAGAATCCTCTGTTTTTCTTTCCCGTTATAATTTCCAGCACTAGAACTCCAAAACTAAAAACATCAGATTTCACTGAGAAGTTCCCATCCATGGCATATTCAGGAGACATATAGCCACTGCACATTAGAAAAATATACAAATAATTATGTTAATATATTTTGTCTTTTGTTTTTTGTGATAAATACATATTTGGCGTTTTAGAACTAGTTTGGGATATTGTGTGACTCACTATGTTCCAACAACTCTCAATGTGTTTGCTTCTGTCTGGTTTGAGGCAAAAAGTCTAGCCATCCCAAAGTCTGATATCTTTGGGTTCATTTCACTGTCAAGTAGAATGTTGCTTGCCTTGAGATCCCTATGTATAATCCTGAATCTGGAATCATGGTGCAGATAAAGTAGCCCTCTAGCTATGCCACATATAATGTTGAAGCGTCTTTTCCAGTCCAGTGTGGGTTTTCTGGCTTTGTCTGGAACATTATTTATTATAAAAATAAGACCAGGTTAAGCCAAACATGTCTGCATTTGAAAAACAAAAATTCTTTCATGCCAAAGAAACTTACCAAACAAAATGGAATCAAGACTTCTATTTTCCATGTACTCATAAACTAGCAACTTCTCATCCATCTCAACGCAGCAACCAAAGAGCCGAACAAGATTTCTATGTTGAAGCCTGACAATTAACTTGACCTCATTCTTAAATTCATCAACTCCTTGCCCCGAGTTTTTAGATAGTCTCTTCACAGCAATATCTTGGCCTTCCATCAACCTACCCTGGTTTACACACAAACACTCCTATTAGCATGTTGTTGTGTGCGTGCTTTGTGATTTTGAGCAACAAAAAGAAACTTACCCTGTAAACAATACCAAAGCCTCCTTGTCCAAGTTTATTTTCTTCGGAGAAGTTGTTTGTGGCCATTGTTATGGTATTAAAATCAAACATCGGCAACTCTATGTCATTCATGCTCCTTTCTCCCGAGTTTTCTCTATTAGTTGAAAACATCCCTTCACTCGTTAGCAAATCCCGACTTCTATGGAAAGAACCTGGTTTTATGGCAAGAACCAAGACAACACATGTTATCATCTACTACCACAACAGAATCCATACCATATATTTAACATTACATGGAGGGACATTACCTCTGGGGGCTGTCTTCACATTTGATGTACTTAACAGTTTCCTCCTTTTCCAGAAAATGAGAACCAATCCCAAAATTATTACTGCTGCAGAAATTGTAATTCCTACAGCCTCACCTACATGGCTTGTCTTGTGAGACTGAGAGCCACCTGCAGATCCTACGTCATCTGTGAAACACAGGTTTTTTAGTACACATATCCACTTATTTGTTCCAACTGTTAGAACTTAGGTTAACTATTGTTAATACTAGTAATTACAAACTAAATTATTATGTTTTAAACTCTTATTAAAGAAAATCACATTCACATAAAAAGCGAAGAAAAATGATAATCTTGTTTGTCGTAGACATGCTACTTTGGAATGACAAAGGATCGAAATAAGACTTTTGGAGTCCCACCACAGCGTAGCTACCTTGATGGCCTCACATTCATTAACCAAATCCTTATCTTTTTTCACACGCACCAAAATCCTACCAACCCCTTAGAACATAGCATGGTCCAACATTCAAATTCAAATATGAACAAATACGCAGACTTAGCTGTCTAGCAGCGAAATAAATTCAACAATTCGGTGCATGACATTTTTCTTATCAAAATAGGAATTAAACTCATATTGGATGTACAATAATTCACTCACGCTACTCAATTAGATCCCTTAGTAGTATAAAAAATTTCTCGTTATCGATATTTTTAGTTTTTATTTATTTTAATTGACTAAAAATATATTTATACTTAGAATTAAAATTAAAATGTATGAATGCGGCAAATTAAATGCAATTAGAATGGCTCTATACTTGTATCAACAGTATCATTGCTCTCTGTTCTTCGAAAATAATGTAAACGTGAACGTAACCATTATGATTGGAAAAGAATGTAGCATTAGACTTTTGGACTTGCCCGAAAAGAAAACCTAACGAGTCAAAATGGTCGGCCCACAACATAGCATTACGGTGGGGCCCACATAAAAAAGTGAGTGGGTCCGGAAAATTCTAGAAACAAAGGTTCTTTAGTGACGTTGTGTGCAAAATAATTTCAAGCATTTTCAGGACATAGAAAAAAGTAATGCACCATATTCCATTAGCTCACCCAACCAAAGGAATTAAGGAAGGAGAAAAGATCAGCGAAGAAATTCAATTTATTTTTCAATTATTAGAACACCTAATCTCACGTTATTAATTAATACTGTTATTTTCATAAAGTTAACTATTGGAAATTGGAATGGGGAAGAGAGAAGAGAAAGAATTGTTGTACGTACCTAGATCAGAAGCTGCTAATCTGACATACAAATCTTGTCCACCAGCAGGATACTTTCGAATGTCGAAGAGTTGACCGGGCCACATGACGCACCCTCGTCCTCCCTCACTAACCTCGATGTTAGCATAACCCATGCAAGAACAATTCCTGCGGCACAAACTCTGACACTCCCTTAAGCTCATGCTCCTATTCGCAAACACATTACTCGTCTCCGGCAACTTCACGTTCTCAACCTTCACAAACCCATCACTCCCGCAATCCAACTCCGTCTCCCTCACACACCCATCAGACCCATCTCTCAAGCTCCACGCCGCCACATTCCTCGGCTTGAACCCCCTCACGCACGTGCAAACCGGCGAAGCGTTCGAGTCGCACACGCCGTTAGGACCGCACGCTCTGTAATCATCACACTGATCCTTGGGCGCGAACCAAAACGTGGTCCACGTCCCACTACTCGGCACCCACGTCAGACGCTCAAGTTGCCCATCCCAAGTCACTACCAACCTCGACAAAATCGAAGGGTTCCCAATGGAGAAAGAATAGTAGACACCGTGTTTATCGTACGAAAAATTAAATGTTATGGAATCTGTGTCGGGTTCCATCTCTGGCACCCCGCTGAATCTCTCACCATTCCAGGGTCCGCTTCTGTATGTTATGTTGTTGTCTTTTCTCAAGAAGATTTCTGGTACTCCACGTGTCTCTATCTTGAAAGAAACATCTCCGCTTGAAGGGTCTCTCCCTGTGGTTGTCCACGATGTTAAGTGTTTCTCCACGCCCGTGTCCAGGTTCCACCCCATCTTCATGCCGGGTAGGAGCGTGTCCGTTGGGTAATCGAAGCTTTGCCAGACATATTTTGTGGGGTCGGTTATGTTTTCTTCTCTCAGAACTAGGTTTCCTGTGTTCAAGAGCTGAAGCATAGGGTTTTTGGCTTTGGTTTCGTTGGAGGACCAAACGGCCTTCTTTGATGAATCCGTGAGAAGCATGTTTCCGCTGTCTCCGATTTTGAGGAACCCTGTGGAGTTCTGGAGAGGGTTGTCTCTGTTGGCCACCCACACGACGGTTGAGTCCTTGATGTTGTTGTAGCGTATGCCCAAGTACCAGGTGGAGTTGGTGCCTGGGAAGAAGCATAGAGCGAAGACTTGGTTTGGTGATACGAGGGTTTCGTTGGTTCCGAGGATTTGCGATGAGGTTAACGTGTCTGCGGAGTGTGAGGTTGTGATGTGTGATGCCAGCAACAGAAAGAGGAAGAAGCAAAAACCTGGCATGTTTGCCCTGAAAGAGAGAGAGAGAGAGTTGTGTGTAATTTAAGAAGGGCGAATTGCATTGTTATTTGGTCTAACTTGTTTCTCCTTTGAACAAGCCTTTTCCAAATTTCAAAAGTGAAACCATCTCTATTAATCTATCTTAATTCTTAAGGACGTACGCCAAAGACTCTTATATGTCATTCACTCTCTTCTTTTTGTTCTGTCCACAGTGTGAATATGGTTTGCCATCCAAATGACTCACAACTGCTTCTTCCATACGTTATTCCTTTTTCACTTTTTTTTTTTAATTCTCAGTAATCCAACTCAACTTCAAAATGTTTATAAAACCATTGATTTTTCTTTTTTCACTTGTTGCTCATTCATTTCAATTTTGGAAAAATTTATTAACTCATTAGTTCAATCTTACAAAATTATATATATACTACTATAGTAATATCTTTAGTCAAAGTAAAATCTTTATCATATTCATCTCAAGTTAAGAGTAAGCATGAAATTTACATGATATGCTTTAGTCGTGGTTTGGTAATTTCCAGTGACGGCCCAATTAGCTAGGTGACCGAATCTCCAAAAACTCACAGTGGACTCTTATTATTGGCAAATCGTATCCCACCGGATATTTCTTCTTTGACTCCGTTTCTAATTAAGTTTAGTTTTTTTTTAATACATTTTTCTGTAAAATAATATTTAATAAAATTCTATCTTATCAATATATTATATTACTAAATAGATGACACGATAAATTAGTTAAATATTATCAAATATTTATTTATATATGTATATATATTAAACTTTTATTATAGTTTCCTTTTCTTTATCGTTGTTAATTGATTGGTCTTCCAAAATTAATTTATAGATAACCATTTAGTGCAAGATCATGTGCTATTATAAGAAAATCAAAATTCCTATAAAATTATTTTAAAAAAATATTATAAGTCATAAAAATAAGTAATTCCTATATAAAACTTAACATGTGTAAAATTTTAAAACAAATCATATTATATATATAAAAAAAAAGGATATATGTAACTAATTCAAAATCATTTTTAAAAAATTAAAATGATATGTATCGTTATTTAAGTGCAACTATAAATTTTGATACAATCATAAGTATGTTGCAAAAAAAATATGAAGTAATGAACAAAATTTAGTATTTAAATGATACTATATTTTAATTTAATATATAATGATAGATCTGAACGTGAATATGAATTCTTGACTTTTTATATTTTATTTTTATTTTCCCTTCACATTTATTTAAGTATTTTTTTTTCTTTTTATATACATGTTCATTAGTTTGTAATATAATTAATTGACATGAGTGTAAGTAAAATATAACTTTCAAAGAGTAAAACATACTCATTTATGTCTCAAAAATCATTAACTACAATGATATGAACATTTAAGTTTTGGAAAAAAAATCTTTGGAATGAAAATAATTTATTACATGTCGATTATAGTTATGAGTAAATAATGTATTCATAAATAGTGTAAAGATAAGATTTATTATCTATGCTTATGTATGATGAATTTATTAACTTTCATAACAATTATTTTAAAAGTATCATTTATCATAAACTTTATCAATTAAAAATTAAATTTTTTTACACCAATGCATAAAATATAAATTCATAAATTATTTTCAGTTTTTTAAATAAGTGTTTCAAGATAACTTATAAGTGTTTGTCTAAATAAAATTTTTCAAGAACATTTCTAAGAAAGAAAAATGAAATAAATTTCTTCATATAATATAAATTAACTTATCTATAATTTAATTTGTAGGAGTTTTCTCTCTTTTCCAAAGTTTTGTGTTTAAATTAGTTAGTTTTAATTTAAGAAGAAATTTATTTTTATTTTTATTTTTAGTTTTTCTTTTTAAAAGTACTTTCAAAATGTCTATTCTCAAACTTATACTCTTATACAATTTTATAACTTATATGAAAAATAATTTAATGAAGTGCTCTACATGTCTACACATGATTACCTTAATTCACAAGTTTTGGCTGCCCTTAGGTATTTTATTTATTGTTCATAATTTAATTAGAAGAATTAGACTCTTACCATGTTGGTCGTTAATGTAAAAGCTTTGTCATTATTCAATGCCTTTAAGGTACTTATTAATGAGATCATTAACTTATTTAGTCATTAATTACGGCTGGAAAGTTATACTTAATGTTCCTGTATTAGGATATATATTTTACTTGTCCTTGTTGTTGCGGGTCTGATCCTGAGTCTAGGTCTTCTCGTTCCTCACCGAGTAGTCCGAAGTGAGGGGATGCCTGCAAAGACACTTCAACGCTCAAGTAAGTGCTCGACGTATTAAATGCGGTAGTTAAAAATTAGTTACGTACCTCGTTGGGAGTCTATTTATAGTGGTTGTTAATGGGTCGTGATTAGAGAATGGGCCCTGGAAAATTAGGAGTTAAACCAGTGTATTACCTAAATTAATCTCTCCTTAATTATCTTGGCATAACTCCGTAACCTGGTCGCGCACCCTGACCTATTTGACTTGGGTAAGAGGTGGTCAGTGTTCTCAGCAATGCGATTGGCTCAGTTGGGTCGGGTGTTCCGCATTGCCGGCCACCATCCGGTATACTTAATGTTAACTTGACTGAAGTCTTTTAACAAAGTTAAGATTTACTAATGACCAGTCGTTATGTTAACGTCATTCAAATTCATTAAATAGTTCTTGTTTGTTGACAAAATATTTTGTATTTTGATGTTTACGTAATTCAAATTAATTAATAGTGTTTGTTTCTAGATCCTCATGACGAAAAGTGGTTGAAACCTACCCATGTCGGGGTCGGGGTAGAAAATTAAATTTTAAAACCATGGAATTCGCAAGAAATTAAGTTGTATTATTCAGTGAAAGTGACAGGAAGTTCAACAATGTTTGATGAAGATTTAAAATCATAAATTCATGTCCTTCAAATGTCTAAACTTGGTAGGCTTGTCCTAATAAGGCATTGGAGAAAAAAGAGGATAATAATTAAAGCGTGAAATATATTTTCCAGTCTTTTTTCAAGCGTTTTAATTTTAATGAAAACAAAAATGATAATTTGTAATGATATTTAATTGATAATATCTATGCCCGATTGGATAATTTCTAGGTCAATTTTAATATAAAAATTAGGATAAATTCCACTTACACTTCTAGAAGTTTAACGAAATTATATCCAATATTCTTTTTAATATTACTTTGACTCTCCTTAATTTATATGATTTTGCTAGAGTTTAAGCGAGGATTAACGAAAAGAATATATTGTTAAAGAAATTAAAGAAGATTTGCGTGGAGTAATAAAATAAAGGAGTATCAAATGAAATTTTGTTAAATTTCATAAGGTCCAAGAGTCAATCTACCCTAAAAATTAATAAAAGAAATCATATAAGAAACACTAATTAAAAAACACCGTCCTGGTATCATATTTTAATTAAGGACTAAAGATTTTGTTGAACAGGTATCCTTTGGTCAAAACAAAGAATTAGACTTTTTATACACAAAACTTAGAGATTAAATCCGTAACCATATTATGCTTAAAAAATGTTATTTGTTAACAAAATGGCAGTTTTTAAGACTAAAATTTATAATAGTTGGCGGGTTACTCTAGTATCTTTTCAGTGTGCTCGTTAAATAAATTTATGTATTTTTAATTCTATTTTTATTCTTTCTACTTTACATTTACCTATCGAAACAAACCCTAAAAAGAATACTATATAGAAGTTAATTATCTATAGAAGCATTTCCTATAATTGAAAATAATGGACAAATCATGTGTTGAAAAGCTAGTTGGTTGACTAGATGTACCAGAACCTCCGGATTTCTTCTATGCATGTGAAACACACAGCAAGAATCATGAATGGTATTTGGATTATTTGGTTCCCTCCCAATTATTTCTCAAGACAGAATTACCTACTTCTGCACACGTGATAGCCCCTAAAGTCCAAATTTCCAAATTGAAAATTCCTTTCTTATGATGTGAAACTAGTTTTACTATGTTGCATACTTGCTTACCCCATACACATATAAAGTGAACTCTAAGTCATTTTTCTAATTTCCTTTCTATTTGCCAGGTAATAATAAGTCACATTTCTGGATCCTCAAAAATACAAATTGATATATACAACGTATTCAATTTTAAGTGTATAGTATAGTTTAATTTCAGTTGGGCCAAAAGGGAAAAACGCAAAAACAATGAGCCCTATGTACGTTTAAAGGGTGTGATAGAGAAGTGCAAACAAAAAGAGACACAGAAATGGAATGACTCCATTTCTATCTCCCTACCACCATTGTGACTGTCAAATCATTTGAAACATCAAGGCCATCCATGTAAAATTCTCTGTCATCAGATCTCCTCATGGAAGTAATCAGAGGTTGCGTAGGCATGGGAAGAGTCGTAGCTTCACTTTCCAGCATCAACACCACAGCAGACATGTTTGGTCTATGAGCTGCTGAATCTTGCACACATAACATCCCTATTTGTATGCATCTCATAGCTTTGTTTTTAGGACTCGAATCACGAATGCAAGGATCAACAAGCTCTATTTCTCTGTGTTCATTCCAAAGATGCCACGCCTACACCCATTCCATCATAAAACATTAGCCTCTAGCATTTCAATAAGATATTAAAAATGTTGCAACTCATTTCTAGGAAATACCACTAGTCTGTTAACATTACTAATGTGATCTTATGTTGGTAAATCGTTTCTGTAAAAACACATTTATACAAGTTGCATTTGATGAAAAAAAAATGTGCAATATAGGAGATACTCACATATCCTATGAGACTTGAGTCATCTGAATGACGAAAGCTAGTGTTTCTGCGGCCACTCAAAATTTCTAGTAGTAATACACCAAAACTATATACATCAGATTTGACTGAGAACAGACCTTCCATTGCATATTCAGGCGCCATATAACCACTGGAACAGAGTTATATATTAAGATTAGCTTGAATCAAGTAAGAATTTACATGTGAGTGAATCAAGACAAGCAAAACCAAAGCATACTTACTATGTACCAACTACTCTGTTTGTATTCCCTTCATTTTGATTCCCACCAAATATTTTCGCCAAGCCAAAGTCTGAAATTTTTGGATTCATATTTTCATCTAACAAAATATTACTTGTTTTTAAATCTCGATGAATTATTCTAAGTCTTGAATCCCGGTGCAAATAAAGTAATCCTCTTGCGATGCCTTCAATGATCTCAAAGCGTCTTGTCCAATCTAGTTGTTTTTGTTTGACTGGGTCTGTCATGATGTTTGCCAGAAAGGGCAAACTTGTTAGGAAAATAAACCAATAATTTCTTTTCATGCTGATTAAAATGCAGAAAGAAATGGAGCAGGTTAATGTGAAGATACATACCAAATAAAAAGCAATCCAAGCTTTTGTTTGGCATGTACTCATATACCAGCAACTTCTCTTCCCCTTGAATAGAACAACCCATGAGTCTAACAAGATTTCGGTGTTGTAGTTTGGCTATCAGCATCATTTCATTCTTGAACTCCTCTAAACCTTGGCCAGACCGTCTTGAAAGCCTCTTAACAGCTATTTGTTCTCCACCTGGAAGCTTTCCCTGGTAAATGCAGCAAATAATTTTCATTTCATTTCAGCAAGCCTTTTATTCCTCAAACATGGGCAAAAATAGAAGTATATTTACCTTGTAGACAGGACCAAAGCCCCCTTGTCCAAGCTTATTTTCTTCTGAGAAATTGTTTGTGGCTATTGAAATGCAACTGAAATTGAAAAGTGGAAAATCTGGCCTGCTTACTTGGCTCCCCTCCAAACTAAGGTCAGCCGATACTGAAAATTCTGCTGACATGTCTCTGCTCTTGCTTGCATCAAAAACTGGTAGTACATCACTACTCTTGCAACACGAGGCTGAGGAAACTGTAGGCAGAACTAAAAAGAAAATAAGATACACAAGTCAATATCAAATTGCCACTTTTGTTGTCAATCCTTTAAGAGAGAAAAAATTTTAGGGTCTAGGGAGATGAATATTTCACCTTTAAGTTTTCCCTTGAATCTCCACACCAGCCATACAAAGATTCCAAGGCAGATTAACCCCGCCACAACACCTGATATTATCGCAACCCTGTTCTTTTTTCCTCCATCATCTGTATTTGAAAACACAAGAGTTACATGTTATTAGAACTTGACCATCCCAAAAGATTATTTCCCTCTCACCATCTTCATAGATAATAAAAATCAACGTATCTTAATGATTCAAACTTGAGATGGCTAATTAGCTGAAATATAAGTCCAACCATAACATGCAAAAGGTACACTTGTATGCATTTTACAAGATTTGTCATTCTATTCATTTTTTTCTTTTCATGGCACATGTTAGAAACAAGATATGAATAAGGCGACTAAATAAAGGGAGTCTTAGACTTACCTAAATCAGAATGAGCGAGGCGAATGTGCAATGTATTCCCTCCACTTTCAAAATGTTGAATATCAACCAACTCCCCATACCATACCATGCACCCTATTCCAAGAACATCTGCATACGCAGTACAAGAAGCATTGTTGAAACACTCTCTCTCACAATCATCCGTGCCAAGCACACGTGCGAAATCAGGCAACTTCATAGATCTACGATGCAAGAACCCATCCTCTCCAACACTAACCCGAGAAGCGACATTCCTCTGAGCCTTGAGTGGAGTCATCCTCGTACACCCACCCGACCAATTCCCCTTCACCCACTCATCCCAATGCTTGGGCTGAAAACCTCGTATGCAAGTACAAACAGGGTCACCAGAAGTTGGCACGTCACACGCCGCAAAAGCCCCACACTTGTTGTAAACCTCACACTCATGAAAAGGCCCTTTTTGAATCTCAGTCCAACGTTTCTCATCCTCGTTCCACCTGAACTCTCTTTCAAAACCGTCCCACCCCACCTGAAAACGCACCTTGTCAGTGCCGTTTAAGGGGTTATATATAAAGTACCTACCACCTTTCCCATCCCCGTTAAGAGTAAAACCATAGAGATACGTTCCCGTCATAGACACTCCTTGGAATAGTCTACCATCCCAATACCCACTTCTCCACCTTCTTTTCTCCCCCTCCCAAACCACTATCTGAGCCAACCCTTCAGGATCCACCCCCATGGTGTAGTTACCCTCAGAAGGATCCGTGGCTGATTTCCACGACGTGAAGACATGGTTAACACTTGAAACCCCCACGGGAACTTTCATACCAGGCACGTAGGTGTCCGTCGGATTCTCGAAGCTTTGCCACACCTCTTTTTTCTCACTGGAGAGAACGAGGTTGCCGTCGTCACGAAGCAGTGCTGAGGAGTTTCTGTGGGTGGAGACGTTGGTGGACCAGACAGGTTTCATGGCTCCGTCGAGGAGTAGGAGGTTGCCGTCGTTTGCGATGGTGATGGATCCTCCGGTGCCGTTGATGGGGTTGTTGCGGTTAGCGACCCATATGAGGGCTGGCCCGGGGATGTTGTAGTACCAGATTCCGACGTAGCGGGAAGAGGAGTTGTCGAGACTGAAAAAACCCATGGCGAAGTTGAGACCGTCGGAGACCAATGTCTGGCGGTCCTTGTCCCTTATGATTTGGCCGGCGGTGAGCCTGGAAGTGGCTGCGGAAGAGAAGAGGTTGTGGAGGGAGAGAAGGAGAAGAGAGAAGAGAAAGAGGTAGGAAGAGATTGTCAATGTCATAGTCATAGTGTGAGAGTGGCCAAGGGCAGTGATGAAAAAGGTTGAACATGGAACGTATTTATTTGACTGAAATAACACGTTATTACTTATTACTATTGTGGTTGTTGGAAACACGGCGAGAGATGAAAGAGTTGAAGATGGAATACGACGTCATACATACTCAGTCATAGTCGTAGCAAATGAAGATTAAAGAAAGAAAAGCCAATGCTATTATTATTTATCACTAATCATTCACTTAATGCGGCGAGAGAGACAAGAACTTTGCTTCCGCTTTCCAGCTCATACACATTACCGCACTTTCCTTCTTTTTCCACGCTTATTCCAATTTACAACTTTATTTCATTTTTACTACTATCCATCACTTTATTTTAGTAGTTTTATTTTATCTTCATAAATTTTTTCAGATTCATTTATAAGTAGCTAATTTTTCTTTTTTTTTTTTGTTTTTTCAAATAACTAAATATTTTTTTAATTATTATAAAAATATTCTTCACTAAATTACATTTTTTGTTTCTCAATTTTATAAAATTTTTAATTTTGATTTTATTGGTAAATATTCATTCATTAATTATTAAAATTATAATGTAAGTCATAATTTGACATAAAAGAGATCACATAACAATTAATACTATCTTTAATTTTAATTATAAGCAATAGAAGACACATCATTAATAGTAAGAGATATTATTTAATAATTTTGGTCTAAATTTTGCTTTTAATTTTTATTTTTATTTTATAAAAATGATAAAATGAGATAAAAAAATAATAAAATTAGGAGTGTAATTTAACTTAAATATTATTAAATATTAATTATTATGTCAAATGTTAGGTCATATCAAACATTACAATGTAACGATCAACATATAGAGGTTTAATAAGAAAACTAAAATTATGAATTTAATAAAATTAATGACTAAAATCATAGATTTTAAAATAAAAAGAACAAAATTGGAAACTTAATAAAATTTAAAGACTAAAATTATTGATTTAAAAATAGAAAGACCAAAATGGTGAATTTAATATTATTATTATAGAAAGATTAAAAGTATAATTTAGTCAATATTTTCATTTAATTCATTTGTACTTTTTTTGCGGTCATACAAATAAGTAAAAAGATTTTTTTATTTTATTTTCTAGGTTAAAATACTTTTTTATTTCTTACAGTTTCATTTACTTTATCTTTTAGTCCTTATAATTTAAAATAAATATTTTTAATTTATATACTTAGTCCCTATAATTTAGGGTAGATTCTTTTAATCCCTATACTTGTAATTTTTTTTATTTTTTTTAGTTCTTACTATTTTATTTTTTTTTGTAACATTGTATGTTTTATGCTAACGTGATAAAATTCTTTCAATTTTGCGAGTATAAACAAATGGGTGTCTTAGGTGAGCGTATAAAAGAGACATGAAATATCGAGAAACTTAATTTAAAATAATTTCAACAAAATAAATTTGATATCAGATATATAAAATTGTATTACTATCATTGTCACATCAATAAGAAAGAGACAACATTATAAAATAAAAAAATTAACGATAGTAATTAAAAGGATTAAAAAACTACAAGTATAATTGCTAAAAAATATATCTTTGAACTATAAAAACTAAAAATGATTGAAAAATATAAATATATGGACTGAAAATATCTACTTTAAACTATAAAAACTAAATAGAAAAAATAAAGTAAGTGAAATTATAAGAATTTAAAAAATATTTTACACTATTTTATATTTTTATTTATCTAAATAATATATCTTTTACATTATATTTCTCTTAAAAATTTATCATTTTTTTCCTTCACGGATGTTGTAATTTTACTATTTATCTTTTTAAATTTTTATTTTATAATAATAGAATTATATTATGGTGAAAATTTAATGAAGTTAGAATTTTAGCTAGTGATAATGTTATTACGGAGGAAAGAAAAGTAAACAAAGAAATAAGTAAAAATCGTTATTATTTATTTGAAATGAAAAATTAAAAAGTTAAAGATTTTGTTTTGTAAGACTTATAAGAAACTTGTTTCTTAAATTGACATAAAATAAAAGAGAAAATTTTCCAATTTTTGTTTTAATTTATTAAAAATATATAATTTTTATAATCATTTTATAATATGTAAAAATAAAATATATAAATAGTTTTACATCAAGAAAAAATAAAATAATTTTACATAAAAATATATGTGATAAATATAAAAATATTCATGATACAATTTAATTTTTTAATTTTGTCCTTTTCTATTTCTTTCTTTTACAATTTTTTCTCTATTTGACTTTTAATTCAACATAACATAAACGTGAGGGTTGTTCTGGCTAATTAATTCAAACATTATCTCACATCTTCTTTAATCATTTTTCTAGGTCCCGTCAGTATCTAGTATATATCTACCAAAAAAATAATAAAAATTAAGCTCGACTCCTTTAAATTAAAAAATAGTCAAACTTTAAACATAATTAAGTTAACTTATATAACATTTAATAAATCAAATTGTAATATATAATTTACAAATAAATGAACTCAACTATCCTCTTCATTGATAAAACGGTTGCCGTCTCTGACATTTTATTCTCGAGTTTTACCAGTTTGATGGCCAAACATTCAGCGTATGTATGAACGTATGAAAATGGAGGAAAACAATGAATTAAGAAAGAATCTTTTAGGTAAGAAGCACGAAAACAATTATTCTCCCTTCAAGCAGAGTAAAATTGATGAGGACTGAGGAGAAGCTTTTTCTTTCCATTTTTAAGTTATTTAAAGGTTGTTGAATAATTTTTTATAACATAATAAATAGTTTATATTAAGAACAATATATTACAATAAATAGAATTAGAACTTTATTTTTTATTTTAATAATACTAACAAAAATAAGATTTACCAAAATATCACCCCTTATATTTATTTACCCAAATACCACCCTTTTTGTTTTTCTGAAAAACCCCGTTTAAGGACCTGACTAAATAATTATAAAAATAATCTATAATTAAATATAATTATTTTATTAGTTAATAAGTAATAAAAGATTACTTTAAATAAAATAGAAATTAATAAATACACAATTTTCAAATAGATCAGTTCAACTAGTAAATTAGAAAAACAAATTAAAATGGAAGGCACTGTTTGACCTAACAATTATATTTATGGCCGGTGTTGCTTGATGGTTGGGAAAAATTTGCTTGAGAAATAATTAATGTTAGCAAGATCGAGTGACTGACAAGGGTTTAATGCTTCATGTTCATAGAAAATGTGATTCATGTGATCGCAAGCAGTAGCATTCCTTACACACTTTACCCTCGTGTTTGAGTTCAAGTGAAGTACAAGAAAACATAAACGAAAGCAAGTACAAGATTAAAGTTTTACTATTTGTTTGACAAAAAGAATGTAATTTTTATTAATCCTAACAAAAGGTATTTTTAATATAAGAGGGTTTCGTTTGGATAGAAAGAGAGGAGAAAAATTACATTAAAAGTAAAATATCATTTCAAGCATTGTATTTAATGGCCAAAGCATTGTATTTAATTGATTAAATATTTTTTTAATTGATTAATCTAGGAATTTAATCGACTAAATTTAAATATTGGATGGAAGAAAATTTAATTGTTCAAATGGAAGGAAACTTAATAAATTAAACATCTGTTTTTTTTTTGGTAACCAATTCATCATCTTTAATGGTGTTAAAAAAATCTGATTTAATTACTTTACAAAAAAAAAGACTTTATCGAAAAAAATATCTGATTTAATTGACTACTTGTATCCTAGTTAATTTCATCACAATTTATTTGCACGTGGAATTCCACTTGTTACTTAATATATGGATACAAGTTCGTGCATCTTATTTTAATCCCTATTTCGGACAGCAAAAATTTCTTAAATTATCTTCTATTTAGCCGGCCTTTTTTTTTGGGGAAAAAAATATTACAATTATAATAATTTTATATAATATATAAGATTTACATGATTTTTATTTTATGTATATCATCATTATTAATATATTTTAATAAATAAAAATATACGAAAATCTCCCACATATTTCAAAAGGTTTTAAAAAATATTCTACATTTTCATATAGGATATAATGCATCAAACTTGATGTAGTACGCAATTGAACTTGACATAGATTAATAAAACTTCATACATAGTATAGTAAGTGTAGTAAGTTATTAAACTTAAAATATTTGATGTATATCAGAGGTAAACCAATCACAATACACCTCCATAATTCTTGTCATTATCGTTATATTACGCTTTTAGGTCATGCACACGTCCATTCATGAATGTTCTATAAATCTTGTAAGATCTCATGCAAGCGGTCTCACTTGATACTCATATAGGTAATTTCATCTAGTGTATATTGCAAATTCATACACTACCTATAAGGGATATGAGAATCATTAAAATCTTTATAAGAAGTTAAGCTTTCTCATAATCTTATAAAGCTCAACTATAAAGATTATCTTTCATTAATGCAGCTTTAGCACTTTCTCACATCATAGGAAGAAATTAAAAAATAATTTTAGTACTAATAAAACTAACAAGTGACTTATTTTTTTCATTGAACTTTCTTCATAGATCTCTAATCACAAAGGTTGAGTTATCATCACCATTTGTTTCAATTGATTTTAATAAAATCTCATTTCCCTTTATGTTTATAAATAACTTACAATGTTTTGCAAAAAAATATATATCAACCTTAGGGGTTTAAAGTCAAAGGATCGGCCAAAAACAATTATTGACTACACCCAATCATTTTCAATCCTTTAAGCAATTGTTATATCACATCATTTCTTAATTTTATATTCTCAACAAAATATTTGTTAAGAGATTTTTAACAACTAAGCCTGATAATCAACCATCTCTAAAGTAACAAACTCTAATTCAATAATTATTATTGGTTAATATCAATTTAAACTCACTACAACAAAGTGTAATGATACAACATTAGTCGATTTTATCTCATATGAATCCAAAATTCAATTAATCATCATTGTATTTTCTAATACAATGAAAAATCCACAATCTTAAATATCATAATTAACAGCATCTCTATAACATCTCATGTAAAATATTGTAATATACATAACATCATATTACTCATAATTCTTCACTAACTCGTGTCATAAATGACTATACCTTTTAAGAGTTAAATTCAAAAACTCACATCAACAATATCATCGTACCATAAAGGTATCAACATTCTTCTCTAAATGATGCCTCACAATTATTCTCTTCACCAGATTTTCACACAAATAAATGAATATTTAATTCTCTTCAAAACACTTTTAATATAAAACAATTAAATATATATAAAGCCTCTCAACATAATGTGTTAATCATGATTACGTAACATGCACCAGACATTTAATTAGCAGTTACAACCTAAAGTAATTCAATTGTCAATTAACATATCATAATTGAATATATTAATTCAATATAACAATATATATGTTACGCATATATCCACACAAAAAATATTTAACACATGTTAATCAAGAAAATTTTGATAGATTCTTACTAAATTGGTTGACAAATTAAATATATTTATTTTTATTGATATGAACTCCTTCTTCCTATGAAACTCATCACTTTCCAAGAGAATAACTGATGGCAGAATCACATCGAATTGACCAATTGACACCTTGTTCTCCTCCACATGTGATTGCCACAACAATGTGCACATGTCGTGTTCTCCTTTGCATCTTCGTGCTCAACTCTCGCATTCATCAAGAATTTCCAAAGACAACTATAAGTCCTTTAGATTGTTGTCCACGAATGCTAAGAACACAAATTGATCTGAACTCCTAAGACATGCAATGCACTATCCTAAAGGATTTATTCACATACTCTCATGCAAGTCCAACCCAGTACTAAACTAGGGATGCAGAACTAGTAAGTTTATAACCCATAAAAGAGAGAACAGGGGAAAAGCAATGTTTAATCCACCTGACTCCTACTGAATCTCAATATTTATAGGAGAAGATATTGACTGTTGTGACTATAATTAATCATGATAATTAAAATTAATTAATTTTGAAATATTTGATAATTAAAATTAATTAATTTTGAAATATTTGATCATTAAAATTAATTAATTTTGAAACATTTGATCATTAAAATTAATTAAAACTACAACCGTCAAATTATTATATATCATTAAAATTAATATTAATTAGGTTTTAATATCAGTAATTCAATTTAAGTTTAAAATAATTTTACAAATTAATTAACCTTTTAAAATATCTCAAAATATATAATTAAAAAGGTCTTTGCTTGACTCACTCCATTAGCACTTGACGCAAATCCAGGCAAAGGCAAGTCTTTTTTTTCATGTTCGACACTATTCAACCCACCTCTGATGTGATTCTAATCCGAAATGATTCTCACTCTGCATGCTCAATGTCACCAATTATATGCCCGACGTGAGTAAGACAGAAACCCCTCTTTGGAGTCACGCCCGGTGCGATTTTAGTTTTTGTACTTATGTAGAAACTAATTTCATCCAATCTACCTAAAATGTAGCAAGAACCCAACATGCAATCCAATATATATAATACATACCAAATAGGCAATGTAACGACCTGACTGGTCACTACACACACCACTGTACACCGGAAACGCCAGCCAGCAACTTCTCTTCCCCTTGAATAGAACAACCCATGAGTCTAACAAGATTTCGGTGTTGTAGTTTGGCTATCAGCATCATTTCATTCTTGAACTCCTCTAAACCTTGGCCAGACCGTCTTGAAAGCCTCTTGAACCTCCGGATTTCTTCTATGCATGTGAAACACACAGCAAGAATCATGAATGGTATTTGGATTATTTGGTTCCCTCCCAATTATTTCTCAAGACAGAATTACCTACTTCTGCACACGTGATAGCCCCTAAAGTCCAAATTTCCAAATTGAAAATTCCTTTCTTATGATGTGAAACTAGTTTTACTATGTTGCATACTTGCTTACCCCATACACATATAAAGTGAACTCTAAGTCATTTTTCTAATTTCCTTTCTATTTGCCAGGTAATAATAAGTCACATTTCTGGATCCTCAAAAATACAAATTGATATATACAACGTATTCAATTTTAAGTGTATAGTATAGTTTAATTTCAGTTGGGCCAAAAGGGAAAAACGCAAAAACAATGAGCCCTATGTACGTTTAAAGGGTGTGATAGAGAAGTGCAAACAAAAAGAGACACAGAAATGGAATGACTCCATTTCTATCTCCCTACCACCATTGTGACTGTCAAATCATTTGAAACATCAAGGCCATCCATGTAAAATTCTCTGTCATCAGATCTCCTCATGGAAGTAATCAGAGGTTGCGTAGGCATGGGAAGAGTCGTAGCTTCACTTTCCAGCATCAACACCACAGCAGACATGTTTGGTCTATGAGCTGCTGAATCTTGCACACATAACATCCCTATTTGTATGCATCTCATAGCTTTGTTTTTAGGACTCGAATCACGAATGCAAGGATCAACAAGCTCTATTTCTCTGTGTTCATTCCAAAGATGCCACGCCTACACCCATTCCATCATAAAACATTAGCCTCTAGCATTTCAATAAGATATTAAAAATGTTGCAACTCATTTCTAGGAAATACCACTAGTCTGTTAACATTACTAATGTGATCTTATGTTGGTAAATCGTTTCTGTAAAAACACATTTATACAAGTTGCATTTGATGAAAAAAAAATGTGCAATATAGGAGATACTCACATATCCTATGAGACTTGAGTCATCTGAATGACGAAAGCTAGTGTTTCTGCGGCCACTCAAAATTTCTAGTAGTAATACACCAAAACTATATACATCAGATTTGACTGAGAACAGACCTTCCATTGCATATTCAGGCGCCATATAACCACTGGAACAGAGTTATATATTAAGATTAGCTTGAATCAAGTAAGAATTTACATGTGAGTGAATCAAGACAAGCAAAACCAAAGCATACTTACTATGTACCAACTACTCTGTTTGTATTCCCTTCATTTTGATTCCCACCAAATATTTTCGCCAAGCCAAAGTCTGAAATTTTTGGATTCATATTTTCATCTAACAAAATATTACTTGTTTTTAAATCTCGATGAATTATTCTAAGTCTTGAATCCCGGTGCAAATAAAGTAATCCTCTTGCGATGCCTTCAATGATCTCAAAGCGTCTTGTCCAATCTAGTTGTTTTTGTTTGACTGGGTCTGTCATGATGTTTGCCAGAAAGGGCAAACTTGTTAGGAAAATAAACCAATAATTTCTTTTCATGCTGATTAAAATGCAGAAAGAAATGGAGCAGGTTAATGTGAAGATACATACCAAATAAAAAGCAATCCAAGCTTTTGTTTGGCATGTACTCATATACCAGCAACTTCTCTTCCCCTTGAATAGAACAACCCATGAGTCTAACAAGATTTCGGTGTTGTAGTTTGGCTATCAGCATCATTTCATTCTTGAACTCCTCTAAACCTTGGCCAGACCGTCTTGAAAGCCTCTTAGAGCCCGGCGCGTTAAGTGCGCGCCCGGCGCAATTCTCAACCAGAGACCTGTAATTTCTATTTCGCCCAGCGCTGTCCTCATCGCGCCCAGCGCGATTCACCCAGAATTACCCATTTCAAGTCGCGCCCAGCGCTAAGAACTGCGCCTGGCGCGAATTCAAACGAGAACCCTTACCTGCTACGAAAATTTCACCAAAACCTGCGAAACTTAACAGAAAATACACATGCAATCCAGTCAAGCATTCCTATTTTCATCAAAGAGCTCAAAAATACCAGTTTTTCATACATGCAACCTCAAACAAGGATAGATCACCAAATTTTCACCAAACCCCGGAAAACCCCGAAACCCCATCTTCAGCCAAAAACGCAACAAATTACTAACTTCCCTTTCCTCGATGCAAGGATTCCGAGCTCCGGGAAGAAGGAACGGAGAAGGAGATGAAAAACGAGCTTGAATGGGAAAAACGAGAAATGGAGGAGAAGAGAAGCTCCACGCCCACAGCTAGCTCCAAACACCACTAAACAACACCTATGCTCACCCAAGAAGGAAAAATCAGCAAGTGAGTAGGAAGAGTTTGAAGAAGAAAGAGTGAATGAGAGAGTGGGAATGAAAGTGAGAGTTGAATGGGAGAGAAGAGAGTCACGGTTCTCACAGGCAACACCAAAAACACACGTAACCATCCTAACATCTAAATTCAACCAATCAACCCAAGATCACCATTAAAGGTTACTCTTTTACAACAAATTAAATTCATATATGTCACCAATTCAAACATGCAATTGATGAATTCATACCATAACAACAAACATTTAACGTCAAATGATTCAAATCACAAAATTTTCTTTATCTCTTGAAGAACCAAATCAAGAAAAGGAAGAGAAAATCACTTTGTACGATTTCGACTATGAAATCTTGAGTTCCTCAAGCTTATATTTCAACCTAGTTACATGAGATCAACTACAAGAAATAGAAAATGAAGATTTTTAAAAAATAAGAGAAAGAAAAATTTTAGATTTTTAGAGAGCTTTTCACCAACTTTTCTCTAAAAGTTTTTTGAAAACATAAATTATGAGGTTCGAAACTTAAAAAAAATAAAATTTATACCTTCCTTATTTTAGCTATCTAAAAATCAACTTATTCTTAGAGTCTCTTAATTTAAAGTTCTCAACAACAACTAACATTTAAACTGCAAAAAATTATAATTAACAAAATAATTATAAAATCAACGGTATTATAATAATTACATTATTAAAGAAAAATAACTTCAAGTATAAACAAACTATATATAATAGAATTACTAGTAAGTTTTTAAAGGTGAACATGCATGGAAGCAAAGTAGCATTTGGTTTTGATAACTCTTCGAAGCGGTCCTGTTTTACCTGGAAAGTTAGAATCTACTTCGCATATTTAGGCATCTGACATGTTGACTTTAGCAAGTAAACTGAGACAAGTTGCAGCACGGTCCAAATATTCTGCAAATGGGAAGTGGCCAATTAACAAAGTGAAGAGCTTTCACAATTTACATACTCAAATCCCATATTTTTTGTGTAAGAAAAATTATAAACATCATTCACGTTGGATACTAAATGTGAAATCTCTACGAATGAAAATTTGACTTCTTTCAAAACCTTAAATCGTTATATTACTATTGTATATCTGTATCCTTCATTACATTTATTATTTATTTTCTTTTATTCTTATCTCTCCTCTTTATCTATCCTTCATTTTAGTAGGATGGTAGCGCTATGTTTTTTGGATTTTGCCGCTGACTAGTGACTATCACTTTTGATTTTGAAATTAATTTTTATATTTTATATATATATCGATTCATTAATTTGTATTTTATTTCATCTGTTTATAAGAGGTCGGAAAAAGATAACAGCATTATTTTTTGTCCACCTCCACAATGTCTGAAATCATATTGTAACCAAAAAAACATATTGGACCTCGATTAATCTGGATAAAATACAATAAAATAGAAATAATAACATAAAAACATTATTTTTAATGTAAAATAAAAAATAAAATGTTCTTAGTTCTCAACAAATTTTATCTTTTATAAATTTTTAACAGGTTTTTAGTCTATATATATTTACCATATAATCTAATTTTAATCCCTCATAAGGTTTTTTTGTTTTTGACAAAAGTCCCTCATCATAAGGCATTAAAATCACATGTTTGTATTAGAATATATTTTGCTCATAAAAGAATTAATGTGTTTGGTAAGTCTAGCTTTGTAAGCTGTTTTAACTAGCTTGTTCGTTAGTTTGAACTCATAATAATAATATTGTAAATGGAGTATCCATCTCTATCTTGAAAGCAACCTGCACTTGATGCTTTCTGGCAATGGACGAATAATGTAGGTTGTTTCCTTTGGAGGAGGGAGAGTGACAATGTCACTATTCAGTATCAAGATTGCAGTGGCCACACTATACCTATCTTGTGCAACCTCTTGCACGCACAATAATCCAATATATCGATGCATTTCAAATATGCTTCTCAAAGCAAGGATCGTAAATTTTAGTATCAATTATACATATTCTGTTTCCTTAATTTATTCCACAACTTCCATACTTGAAAATATTAAAAACCAATTTATAAGATGATTTTTATTTTATAAGTTGATTTTATAAATTTATATTAATCTCAAACTCATATTTTGAAATAATATTAGACTTATCTTAAATTCGATAAAAGAGTTATTCATTGTTTATATACACACTAATCCCATTATTACTAAGTATTAGTGTGATTGATGGATTAAAAAAACTTAAATCTTATTTATTTACATCATTAAAAGAATCTTTCAATATTTATGCACAAATCTAATTTAATAATATTGAATTAAGGATGTGGTGAGAAAAAATAAATTTTATATTAATGTGTGAGACAACTCTTATTTTATAAATTAATTTTACGATATTAAATTAAACCTAAGCCTATTTTATAACAGAAATCAATAAGACAGTTGTGCCAACAAATTAGAATGCGAGAGAAATTTAGTGGCAACATTAACAACAAACTATAGATGGAGTTTATAAAATAATACGATCTTATAAACTCATGTTATATGTTCATTGAAGGCAGACTGGTCGGTGAACCTCGCACATTCGTAGGATTAAGGTTTTCACTTTTCACGGATTTCATTCCCCTCTTCAGGTTGTATGCTTTTATTATGTCAGGATGTAGTGGAGGTGTATTTTTGCTCGTGGTATATATTAGCTTAGTGGCTCTTGGGTCCCAAAAACATTATTTTTTCTTGCTCTCTTCCATGTGCACTAACCACCCATTTTGTGGTGACGCTGAAGTGTCACAAAATTATGATGGCTTATTGAATCAACATTCAGCCAGGGTTGATTTAGAGGGTATTTGAGGAGAGGATCGATGGATTAGAGGTTTTTTTTATAAAAGTATACATAAATCAATTACAAATTTTATTTTACTTTTTGCCTATTTTCTTTTTATCAAATACACTTTTCACCCCATTTCCTCTCTTTCCCATCATTATCATCCCCTCCCAATGCACACCCTGAACATAGTTCTACTTCCACTACCAAACACAAAGAAGTGAAGAACACACCATGATAGTGGATTTCACAAGTCTGATTCTTGCTCTCATCATACTTTGCTGCTTTGCTCAGTACTGCAGTTCATCCAACGATACCATCACAGCAGACCAATTCATCAGAGACCCTCACACTCTGACCTCAGCTAACAGTTTCTTCAAGTTAGGATTCTTCAGCCCTCAAAATTCGTCAAATCGCTACGTGGGAATCTGGTATCTCTCGGAGTCTAATATCATATGGGTAGCTAACAGAAACCACCCACTAACGAACAACTCTTCCGGGGTTGTTCAAATTTCTACAGATGGCAATCTTTTGGTATTAGATCATAGCAAGAAAAGGGTTATTTGGTCATCAAATTTGACACATGTTGCAACCAATTCAAGTGCCAAACTTTTTGACACAGGAAATCTGATCCTGTTAGATGGTGCCTCGGGACGAAGTAGTTGGGAGAGTTTCCAACATCCTTGTCATGCCTTCGTGCCAAAGATGAAACTTAGTACTACTAACCCAAAAACAGGTGAGAAAGTACGCATAACATCGTGGAAAACTCCCTCTGATCCTTCTATTGGATACTATTCTGCTACTCTTGAACACCCCAACATGCCTGAACTGTTTTACTGGTTTAATAAAACGCGACCGTATCATCGGACCGGTCCATGGGATGGTCAGAGTTTCATTGGCTCGCCTAGGTTGTTTCCTGGTTATGCATATAGATGGAGTATAATGACTGAAGCTGACGAAACCGTTTATCTTTCTTTTGATTTCCGAAGTGAACCTTACTTTGTAATCGCGAGCTTGAATCCACAGGGCGATCTTGCTATCGCATTGTGGATCCATGAAAAGTTAGTGGGGAGGGTGCTGTTGGAACGAACCTCGTGCGATCTTTATGGCTACTGTGGGGCATTTGGAAGCTGCAATAAGCAGAGTTCTCCAACATGCACCTGCTTGAGTGGTTATAAGCCCAAAAATGTAGAGGAGTGGAATACAAAAAATTGGACTAGTGGGTGTGTAAGGAGTGAGCCACTGCACTGTGGGGGACACACAAATGGGAGTGAAATTAGCAATGACGACGGGTTTTTGAAACTTGAGAATGTGAAAGTGCCAGATTTCGTACATAGATCAACTTCTTTGGGAGATGAGTGCAGAGAAGAATGTTTGAGGAATTGTTCTTGCGTGGCCTACGCATATGACAGTGGTGGCATTGGATGCATGGTTTGGAGTGGGGACTTGATCGACATACAAAAATTCTCAAGCGGAGGGGTTGATCTTTACATTCGTGTGCCACCTTCGGAACTTGGTATATCACTTTTTGATTTCCTTGTCACTAGTATTTCAAGTACTCTGAGTGCAAATCTAACTTGTTTGACTTGTGTTTAATTTTTGCAGAAAAACATTCCGGTAAAAGAAGACACAGGATAGTAATGATTCCAGCTGTAGTAACTGTAGGAATGATTGCCTTGGCTGTCTGTGTTTATCTCTCATGGAAATGGATTGCTAAACCAGCAGGTATCTGTGTTGAATTATAGAAGTTATTTTGATTCAAAAATATTCACGGTTTCATATTGAAATTGGAAAAGATGGAAAATGCTTTCGGTCAATTTGACATTCTTATCTATCATTCCTTCTTTCCCTTATTACTTTTGCTAGTAATCTGCTATATATTTTACAGAAATATGTTGCTCTAGATTTGTACAACTTTTAAACGAATATTTTTTTCAAATCACCAAAATGTAACTCTTGTCATGTTTTAGCCTGCGAATAATAAGTGATACTCAAGTACAGTTCATTTGGCATGATGATAGAAATTATTACTCTACTCAGGAAAAATATATTTACAAAGACAGAGAACGAATGAAGATCAAGAACAAGTTAAATTGAATGATCCGTTGCCACTTTTTAATTTCGAAGAACTTGTAAATGCTACAAACAATTTTGACTCAGCCAACGCGCTTGGCAAAGGAGGTTTTGGTACAGTATATAAGGTAAGTTTTGATTTGTGTACACCTCAATTTTCAAATAATTTCATGTAAGTAAAAAGGCTTCAAAAAAAAAAATCTCTTTAATTGTGTACCAGGGACAATTGAAAGGTGGACAGGAAATAGCAGTGAAAAGACTTTCAAAAAAATCTGGCCAGGGGTTAGAAGAATGTATGAATGAGGTATTAGTGATTTCAAAGCTTCAACATCGAAATCTTGTCAGACTTCTCGGTTGTTGTATTGAACAGGAGGAAAATATGTTGGTATACGAGTACATGCCTAACAAGAGTTTGGACGCAATATTGTTTGGTTAGTTTGAAATTCTTTCTTTTCTATGCCTAAAGAGTATCTTAAACAACTGAATACTTCAATTCTAGAAATTTGATTATTCAACTGAATAAGGTTTATTTCTTCAATATTGTTTACTTCACTTTTAGCTTCTTCTACAGATCCAGTAAAAAAGAAGAATCTAGATTGGCCAAAACGTTTTAAAATAATTGAAGGAATTTCTAGAGGTTTGCTTTATCTTCACAGAGATTCAAGATTAAAAATTATACACAGAGATTTAAAGGTTAGTAACATCTTGTTAGATGAAGAGTTCAATCCAAAAATATCAGATTTTGGCATGGCCAGAATCTTTGGAGGCAATGATATACAAGCAAATACCGAAAGGGTTGTTGGAACATTGTAAGCAATTTTTCTATATCAAGTTTATACCACCATTTCAAGATAAAAAGTGACTTAACTTTCTTAAATATGACTTAAATGCAGTGGTTATATGCCTCCAGAATATGCATTTCAAGGATTGGTTTCTGAGAAATTGGATGTCTTTAGCTTTGGAGTGTTATTGTTAGAGATTATTAGTGGGAGAAAAATCACCGGGTATTACGATCATGACCAACCATTGAGTCTCTTAGGACTTGTAAGCCTTTTTGAATGATTTGCTTTGTTTTGAAAAGACACATACCTTTTGATAATTTTGAGAGTGTCTACTTGTTTTAACTGCTATAAATTGATTGTTGACTTGGTTTCAGGCTTGGAAATTATGGAATGAAAAGGACATCCAATCCCTGATAGACCTTGAAATATCTAATCTAAATAATGTGAATGACATTGTGAGATGCATACACATCGGGCTTCTTTGTTCGCAAGAACTTGCAAAAGAAAGACCAATTATGGCTACAGTAATTTCAATGCTTAATAGTGAATTTGTCAATCTTCCTCCCCCATCAAATCCTGCATTCCTCGAAAGGCAAATTGTATCATGTTCAGATTCATCTCAGCAAAACTACATCACATACTCCGTCAACAATGTTACTGTCACAAACATACATGGTAGATAGCAAATTATGAGAATAACTATGGCTGAATATACCCCTGAACATCTTCAATTTATAAAGACTGTTGACGAACCAGACAGATCCTACATTGTTATTTTTTGTCAGAAACTGTGAACTTGATCGATTTTAATTTGGTGTGGTTGTATAGTTTTTTTTTTTTTTTTTTTGACATCAGTTGTATAATTTAGTGAATAATAAATATGTATTGCATTTAATATTTTGATAACTAGTTAAAAAATATTCTTTCAACTGTTTCAAATTATCATCTTTTTTTATCTTACATTTATACTTATTCTTTTAAGCGTCAATTTTTTTATCTAAGGAATTATTCTGATATCTTGGTATCTTCTCTTATATGACAAATAAATTAAACACATGTCAATTAATGATGTCATTTCAGTTTTCTTAACAAATTTTAGATATAATTTTCTAAAATATTGTTATCGATTACACCTTTTAAAATTAAAAATTAATTATCAGCTATTCTTTAACCCTAATTGAATGAGGAATAATAATTCATCTCTTCGTTGTCCTTTCGGTTACCCAAATCATCAACAACATTGACAACAACGATTAGAAATTGATAGTCCAAATTATCTCTCACGCAATCGGAACTCGCTTAATTAACATCTTTATTTTAATTCATGTGCTTTCAATTTGGATTTTGGAGCAAATTGTGAATGTTCATAAACTCCCTATATGCATGATTTGGAAATACAAACCAAGAGAGTGGAGTTGAGAGAGATATAGATTATCTATTTTCATTATCTTTTTCTTCCTCAATCAACACGACTTTTATTTTTTAAAATTGAGTTTTTGTTTATCTCAAACACTCGAGTTTTTGTTGCAGTTTCTACTTATCTTAAACGATCGAGTTCTATGGCCCTTCAATAGGCTCGAAATTTGCACTTTGAAGTCCCCTAAACTTAAAAATAAAAAATAATTTAATTAGCTAGGGATTAAATTGAAATATACAACAATTTTAGGATTCAATTACAAAATGATGACATGACCATACCAAAACTTCTGAATATGTGAAGATACAGTACAAATTCTCTAAATAATTTTTTATATATATTTTTATCAATAATTTAAAATACTTTTATATCGCAATTTCAATTGTTTATTGTAAATGTGACATATAATTTATGTATCGAAAGATATTTATACTGCAATGCTTACAATTACAATCTTGCATCATTTGGAAGGATAGTGAAGTGATACAGCCAATTTTTCTTCTTTTGTGTACCCGCACAACAATTTTTGAACATAGGAAAACCAAAACCAACAAGCAAGATGAAAAATTACAACAACACTGACAAAAGAATCATAACATGAATTAACGGTGACAAACTGAGAAAGAACATGGAAACTAGAAAACCAAAAAAGTAAGAAATAATAAATAAAGATATTGATAAGGGCACTAGAGAGAAGATAACAAGTTTAGAGTTCTACTTCACAAGGTGCCCTTTGGAAAGTCTTGGGCTTAGAAAAGTAGAGCAACACAGGAGAACAATAAATCCTCAACACACGATGCTTTGACTTCCACAGCCCTACCTTGAACCTTATCCTTGCCCTAACCAACACGTCTAACTCAATATCCCCCGAGGACCTCTCAAGCCTAAGGTCCTTAGGCACGGACTCATACAGGGCCACAGTTTGGGCCGTGAGGCCCACGTGAAGCCTTGTCACATTTTTATGCGACTGGAAGAATGGGTGAACCGCATTGGTGGCTAGTGTTTGGTCCTCATAACGCACTGACACCTCCACAGTGTCGTAGTATATGGAGACTCTAGAATTTGGATTGTAAGCTCTTAAGGTGAAGTCAAAGTTGGCATAGAGGTGATTCGCATCTGTTAAGTTGAAGTTGTGGATTGCACCATTCTCCACACTGTACTCCAACCTTTTTGGCTTCAAAACCAACCAAATTATGAGCACAGCTATGCCTACAAGAATGATCAATGCTAGTATTAGCATCGCAATCAAACGGAGCAGGTTCCACCGCTTTGTCTTGGTTGCTTGTGGGTTAGGCTGAGCCATCTCTAATTCTATGAGGCTAACTACTAACTAGTGTTGGTCTTTCATTGAACTAGAAACTCAAATCATGTTTATATATTGTTTTCAACTAGGGCACCTTTTTTTTAATTACTACTTTTATCGCTTTCAGAATTTCGTGCATGAAACTCAAGACATCTATGGGATTCTTCGGCCAACGATTTTGTTCCTTTCTTGAGATTCAAGTGTCACGTTACATATAGTAACATACTATCGCAAGTAATGTAGCTGTCGGTATAAAGTGTCGCCTATATAAATATCTAATATAATATCATTTCACAAGGAAAATTTACAACAAAAGTGAGGCTGAATGATGTGTGTTAAAATAAAAAGTATCCAACTCATAATAATTTTAATGGTGCGTGTATGCTTGGAAAATACATATAATTACAATACTTTGACTGTTTTGCATCTTTTTTGTATATCATTATTTGAAACAAAAAAAAAAAAAAAAAAAAAAACATTTTCCCTTTTTTTTGTCGGGAAAAAAAAATTTTTTCGGGTTCGGCTC